TCCGTCCAGAAGACCTATACAATTTTTTTCTTTTTGTTTTTTTTTCTTCTGCTTTCAATTAGCATTTTTCTATATTTAAACTCAACATCTTAATTTAAACATTTCTACAAATTCCAGCAACCATTGGGAAACACATAATTCATGGTGCATTTCAACAGAAAACATTGCCTAGTTTGTATTTTGTGGTAAGTTAAAAACAGCTTCAGATTCGAATACAAAAAATATCTTCTGGTGAAATATTACAGATCCTAGCTGCACGTAAAGAGGACAGTGGCACATATGTGTGCACCTCTCGGAACACGGAGGGCTCTACTGACACCAGGGTGGAAGTGATTGTTGATGGAGGAGCCCAAGTCCCCTCAGCACCCATTGCCTCAGTATCTGAGCCGTTGATGATTGTGGTGGAGGGACAGACTGTAACACTGACCTGTGAGGCCCACGGTAATGTCTTCATTAAAGTCTGACTGCTTCTTAAGCCTTGTCCTTTTGTGTCTCTTTTTATTGGTGAGAAAACAGGTTAATTGAACATGTTGTCATAAAAACAGAACAGTTTACTTTAATTTTATATGTGTCAAGAGTTTTAGTTGTTTATTTTTTTGTTTTGTTTTTGTTCTTTGTAGGAATTCCATTACCAACAATCAGGTGGTCTAAGCTGCGGTCCTCCCTGCCTTGGAGGCACAAGGTGGTAAATAACAACCTTATTCTGCCCAGTGTTGGCCGACAAGACTCTGGGGAATACATCTGCAGTGCCACAAATACCATGGGAACCAGTGAAGTCACCATTACGTTAGATGTAGAGTGTGAGTGTTTGCATTGGAGTTATCTCATCTTTCAGCTTTAGTTTTTAATTATTTTCTATTTTATTTATCTTTTGTTCTTCTTCTGCCTCTAGCTCCTCCTTATGCCACCTCTGTACCTGATAATGTGGCTGTACGAGTCGGTGAGGTGATCAGGCTACAGTGCCTGGCACATGGCACCCCTCCCCTGACCTACACCTGGACAAAGTTAAATGGGAACCTCCCTCCAAGAGCTCATGTCAGTGGAGGTGATCTCCAGATCGACCTGGCTACTCCTGAGGATGCTGGGAGCTACAAGTGCATKGCCAGCAACAATGTTGGCAACAGTGAAGTAACTGCGAAAGTCACAATCAGATGTAAGTTTTTACATATTTGACTGAATGATTTACAGACAGATTACAGAATGATTCTAAAATCAAAKTAAAACTGCAAGCAGTGATAAAGGGCCCTCACGCACCAGAAAAAATATCCTGATTGTGCATCAGTATTCACATTCATTACTCAGGTAAAAGTATAGATACTAAGGTTTAAAAATACTTTTTTAAAGTAGAAATATCAACTCAAGCTTTTTACTCAAATAMAAGTGTAAACGTACCAGTTGTAAAACTAGAACGTAAAAGTAATGGGGGAAAAAAAAGAACAAAAACTCAGTCTGCTCCACAAGGATCTATAGTGCACAACCTCCTCCCAAAAAAGCCTTGTTCTCAAGACCATAACTATAATATTGACCAGGTTATCATTGTAAATGAYGGCTTACATTTAAAATAAAGGCTTATAGTCCATGGGCTAGAGTGGCTCACCGTGCAAACAAATATGCAAATATGTCATCAGAGGGTCAAAATGTCACAACCCCAACAGAAGATGAAATTTTTCACCTTTTGAGTTTACCACACAGATCCTAAACGTTCAACTTTCTTAGCCTTTTCATGCACCATAGGATCCACTTATTCAGAAAAAAGTCTGTTAACAAAATAAAAGTTGAAGGTACTACTCCACAGGGACCAGTTTTSACCACACYCCTGCTCATTGTGTGCACAGTTCAGAATTTTCAGGATCTCAAACTTACATGTAGATTCACCATGTCAGAATAAAATGTCTTAAATCTGGTGTTAAATGATAGGTATTGATGTGGTCTCTCATTTACATGTGCTTTTGTTGATTACTTATGCAACAGGTCATTTTAACAGCCAGGAGTTRAAAGTAACAAATAAAAATTGAACTTATTGCTCACAGAAAAGTGAATCATCTCTTTCCCATTTGTCTCCAAACTTACCAAATGCCTCTTAGTAAGCCTCAGTGTTTTGAAAGATCTTCATGCTTTTATGCTTAAAGCGACCAAAAGACTGGAAATTGTTCCTATCAAATAAGGATAATTTAAAAAAAATTTATGGACCAAGGTGGTCAGAACAAATGTCAGTACCGGTATGTGGCTACAGCTAAGGAAAACTGAAGTGCTGCATACATGTTACAGGGCCAACTCAATCCTTCTCACCAAAAATGTGTTTGCTAGGTCTACATGCCTACACAGAATGTGACAGTACAAGTGCCTTTAAGGGAAAAGGGAAAGTGAAAGGCATGAAGCTCCTTCAGAACAWTGACTTACCAAGAAGCATTTGGTAGGTTTGGAGACAAATGGGGCATTGATGAGTCACTCTTCTGTGTGTGAAGTTTACTTGTGCTTTGTATGGTCTGCTATTAGACATAAAGCTGTAATAAATGGATACATTAATTTCTCCAATTTTACATGAATTCTTCTTTAGAAGTGGTTGAAGTTCAAGCTAATCAAAGAATAACTCTGTGAAAGCC